ACCCTTTTGAAGCCTTCAAATGACATAACCTCTTTAAACCATTTTAAATACTCAGGGCAGCCTGCGTGTTTAAACAAGTTATCATGCAGCCCATTGATAAGCATGCATCACTCTAACAATACAAGCTGCTTAGGTACTGATAACTCCTTAGTGCCTCCTGTGGCATAAAATATGCATTTAGAGACTGCAGGTGGGCACCAAACACATCCAACTGAAATATCCTCAGCAAAGTTCTTGGAGCTAAGTACACAGAAGTAGACTTCTAGGGCCTTTACTGTGATCTGAAAAGTAATTTATCAGCAGCTATGACTGCTCCCAGAAATAAAATGTACTTTTCTGACCCTTAAAAAGTGTTTTGGTTTCTATCCTTCTCCAGAGCTGAGGAAAGACCTGGAGAGTCTCTTCTCTCCCTACATCTCACTCGTTTCTAAACAAGGCTGCAAAGCATTGAGCAAGTTGCAATTCCACTGTGTCTCAGAAACATATACTTGTTAAGACTACAAAGTGGTCTTCAGGGGAGCACAGGGCCACGGGGCAGGAGATAAATACATTCTAGGATGAGTTACATTCCTCTTTTCTCTGAAAGAGGATGCAATTAAGAGCTTCTTCACTTTGTCCACTAGCACGCCTTCGGTCTGCCACCCTTCTCTTCCCTAAACATACATCACCCTTCAATGAAAGCTTGCTCCACAGTCCAAATGTTCTCCAAAACAATCCCAAGAAGCTCGAATTAATTTGACAATTCACTTTCTTGCACAGTACATTTTCACCAGGATATTCCAGTGACCCATTCAAGGGAACCACCGTGTTGGTCTGCTCCTGAATTCAGTAGCACAGTCACTGATCCAGTCGCCCACAAAGTACAGACAGAAGTGCCTTTGCGTACCCTCCACATCATCTCTGTTTTTAACCAATGAAAAACACACAATACACAGCACACCTGTGTTTTCTTCCACTGTAATGGTGAGGATGCCATGGTTTAACCCCAGCCAGCAACTGAGCACCATACAGCTGCTCCCCCCAGGTGGGATAGGGGAGAGAATCGGAAGGGAAAAAGTGAAAAAAACCTCATGGTTTGAGATAAGAACAGCTTAATAATTGAAATAAAACAAAATAGTAATAAAAATAATAATAAAGAATACAGAAAGCAAGTGAAGCACGATGCAATTGCTTACCACTTGCTGACCAATGCCCAGCCTACCCCTGAGCAGTGGTCCCCTGGCCAGCTTTCCCCAAGTTTATGTACTGAGCATGACATCATATGGTCTGGAATATCCCTTTGGCCAGTTTGGGTCAGCTGTCCTGGCTGTGCCCCCTCCCAGCTTCTTGTGCATCCCCAGCCTTCTCAGTCAGTAGAGCACAAGAAGCTGAGAAGTCCCTGACTTAGTGTAAGCACTACTCAGCAACAACTAAAAACATCAGTGTGTTATCAATATTATTCTCATACTAAATTCAAAATACAGCACTATACCTGCTACTAAGAGGAAAATTAACTCTATCCCAGCCAAAACCAGGACAGAGAGCAGCTGGTACGAAAGGCTACCCTTGCTCACCAGCATGTAAGCTGCTCAGCTTGCATGATTGTCCACAGTAAGTATTCGACATGAAGGGAGACTGAAGATTCCCCCCAGCCACCATTAAGGCTCTTCACCTCTGCACATACCAAGTTTTCCAACATCATTTGGAATGCACCAGTTTAAATCCTCCTAACATAATCAGCACAACAAATAAAACAACCAGCACTGTAGACTATCTCCTCAGGGACAGCAAGAGAGATCTAGTTCCCTCACAGCCCATATCATGCTCTGTATAAACAGGAATAAAACTGGAATAACTCTGTTGACTAGACTGGAGTTATTCCAACAATACACTAATCAAAATGAGATCATAAGTTAACTCAATATATACAAATAGTGACAGCTGCTGGTTTCTATAGCAAAATATAGTAAATAATCATCGTCAGAAAACACAAGCAAAAGCAACACCTATGTATGATTCAATTACATGCTTCCATGAAAATTACAGGTTCATGATTCTCATTAATTCACCTCAGCTAGATGAATGACATCCAAGTAGCAAAGCCAGCAACAAAATACTATCTCAAAATCAGTCACAGAAGCAACAGAAATTCCTACCCATTTTTTTAAATTTAAAAAAAACCCCTGACTTTAAACATTTTTTTAAAAAAATGGTTTTAAATATTTACAACATAATACTAAAGAATATTTTCCTATCAGCAGTTTATATAACCATAAAATCAAAACCTTATTTAAGTCTCTAACAACTCATTTTCTTTCCATTAAGGTGTTTTAAGCAGGATCTCAGTCTTTTCTTACATAAAATTCAAGTAAGACAATCTAATCTATCAGTAATGTCCTCAAGATGGCCTCATATATGCAATGAATTAAACACTCTCAAATATTTTATTTTTTCAAAGTGGCAAAGACTCACTACATCCCAATCATATTTCCCAGATGGTGTCATGAACCTCTTAACACTTCATTTCCATCATGTTCCATGTCTTGAGAAATCTGTTTTCAATCTTTCAAACACAAACAGGGCCTCCACCCTCTGTCCCCTGATGGTAGATTCAGCAGTCCCCAGCCAACATATTCTTCATATTCTTTTTAGGGTGAATAAATTCATCTCCTCCCTCATCAATCACACAGAAACCTTCAATGACACATTCATGCTCTTCAAACTTCTTCTTAAGTATATTATTTATGTCTTCTACGAAGAAATGGAGGATATGCATTCATCAGAAGTAAGTAGCTCCAAGTCAGTCTAAGAAAAGCATCTGCAAAGCTGACTTGACCCTACTCTTGCTCCCAGTGTACTGGAGCTGTGACTTACAGATACTGCTGCTTTTATACTTCACCTAGGGACCTGCTAATTTTTAGTTCTGCTTGCTCACAACTAAGAGCTCTAGAGGCATCTAAATTCAGTTCTGAGGATTTGGCTCCGTGTCTGTATGTGGAAAAATACAGAACTCATTGATCCGAGTTGAAGCTCTAGAAGCTAAAACTCTATACCTCCTTTGTCTTGCATCCAGTCCATTAATTTTAGCAAAACGTTGCTATTGCAGAGTGCTTTCCGTCCTTCAAGTGTCTAACAAAGGATGACTTTGGGTCTCCCTGTCATTGCTGCCTTTTGAGACCCACATTGTACTTAACTTCGACAATACACAATTTTCTCTCTAGTGACAGAATGAGCCATTCATTATAATCAAAGCATTCTGGGTCTCACTTTGCATAAGAAACCTAGGACTAGATGGACCACCCTTGGGTGGTCCCTGAATCCAGTGCTCTGCATACAGAATTAGCCATACATATCGACATCAGCAGAAGGCGGCTTCACAGAGAATCTGTTCCACGTAGCCCTATCCACAAATCACAAAATACATTCAGCAGCCCATAGTAACTTCCAGAAGTTGCCATAATTACAATGTGTGACATTTGAATGTGAAATTCAAAAATTTATCTTTCTTGTATATTAATGCCAGAACTTAGTATTCCAATGTTTGTCCCCAAACATTTCAGTATTTGTCCCAGGCTGCCTGTGTAACAAAATTCATGAAGAATCAGTGGAGCTGTCTGGCCTGAAAATAACATTTTTGAAATCAGCATTCTCCCAGCTGACCACAAGACTGCAAAACCAGGTCTTTCTTCCTTATCCCTCTTTCTCACACTCCTAGGTGTACAATGGCTGGGTTTTTGACAAGTTCTTTTTCAATGCCTCTGTCTGGGAGCCTAGTGATTCTGGGGAGCGAGAGCTGTGTGCCTGAAAAACCCCAGCTAGAGACAGGAAACAAAGTTACTCACCACTTTCCATCTGGTAGATTATTTAGGACAAGGACCTGCATTATTAGGAGGAACTCTGCTCAATTTTTTTTTCAAAAAATATTCATGAGTGCTCCAGTTCCAGAAGATGCTGGGTGCTGGATTCCAAGCTGGCAGACATACTTGCCCTACTGCCATTGATGCAAGTGCCTAAGCTCCAGAAAAAGTCACTTGCCTTTTTACACTAAAATTCCCACTGATTTGCAGCAAGAATTTCCCTTTTCACTAAGCAGGTTTTACGACCATTCACCTGAGCTGCCTAAAGCACACTTTACAAGTGCTTCATTCTGGTCTGGGATTCCATTTTGTGCATTCAAAATATAGGTCCTTCAGCTGAACTTGCAGAACTCTACATCTTGCAGGACTCATCTCTACCTCACTTTTGTGGGAGCTGGAAAACAGTGTAAGAAAGGAGAACACAGCAAAATGGTAAACAGTTTTACCATCATCTGCCCAGAGCTCTAGAGCTCTTGCTGCCTTGTGTGAGGCAAGTCACCTCCTCAAAGGATAGTATTCCTAATCTGCATCCAGGGGATGTCACTTGAAGAAATGCTGGGCATTCATAGCTACCTCTTAACTTGAGCGTTTTACCTGTGGACAGCTGCCCCTCCTGCCATCCCCAAAATAGCTACTGTTTGGTGTTTCAAATTTGTAGCTTTGTAACCTACTGACTTAAGACTACCATTAGTAGCTCCACTGCCTACAAAACAGGAATATAATAATCCCTCATCTCAGAGGGAAATCAGTTCATTATACATTAATTACTTAGTTTTGACTTCTCGGTAATAGGTTTTGCATGAATAAATAATACTGTCCTCAGGTCTGAATAGTGTGATGTAAACAAATGCCCAGAGCCAAACTGCAGCTTTTCAAGGAGGAAACAGAATACTTAAGACCCATTTATTAAGTTAGCAGCATCCATTACATGCTTCAGAAAAAATGTTATGTAACTGCATGATCAAATAATTAAAGACTGCACTCCATTGCACATGTACCAGGATGGGAAATTCAGTCTGCATGGGCAACTGTCCATCTGGTATTTTATGACTTCATAGTGTTGCTTTCACAACCTTGTAAATGATCTCTTAACTTAATCTTTTTGTACGTTACACATACACTACTATTGTCTAAGTATCACATGCAAAACAAATCCAAACTCACATCTCTCATCATTTTCACTGCTTCCCTGGTCCTTCCCAGCTTTCTTGCACACATTGCCAGCCTCCTCTTAATATAAACTAACACATTGGTGTCCCTTCCTGTATAGGAGGAAAAAGAAACAGCATTAAGATTAAAAAAGATAAAACAAAGGTTCATTTAATATTCCAACAAAAAAGGAAACGGTTTTCTTGCCGTTTTTTGTTATTCACGATCATCACTGCTTTCACAATAATTTTAATAAAAAGTTACCAAACTCTGCTGATTTAGATGTGGCATAACATCACTGAAATCAGTGGAATTACTCCAGATATACAGTGATATAAATAAGGATTCATTGGTTGGCCTTACACCTATGAAACATAAGCAGATCTGAAGGTACAGAGAACAATATAGGGTATAGACCATCAAGTAATCAAGTGAGGCAAGGAGAACCCCTATGAAGTTAACATTGGCACAAAACTCTGTGATCACACACAGAGCATTAAATTATTTACCAATTCATATACATGTTTAATACAAGAGCATCCATGAAAATGCATGTTATATCTTGCCTTTTTTGTAAGTTATGATGTACATGCTTGTTAATAGGAGATGTAGCAAAGCAAACTCATCCTCTAACAGTCTTTTTCCTGAATGATTAGAAGAAAAGAAGTATACCCTGAACTTTCAGTTCACAGAGAGCCTTTATTTGTTACCCAGTTATCATCTTCAAATTCTTCACACCACTAATTATGGGTGGCAAATTAACATGTTTCAGATATGACAGTCCTATGTGCTGGAAAATACCCTAACAGCAAAGATCACAAACTAAACAGCTGCAATAATTATTCTCTTGGAGAATTCTTACTTGTTTAATTTCTCATTCTCCTCCCCATAATTCCAGTGTGAATTCTTAACGTGCTTCTGAACCAACAGGAAATGAGCAGACAGCTAATCATCAATAAAATTACCATATCATGAAAATATAAGACACCTGCTACAAATTATCTTTGCATACAGTATGCAGCCTGTAAAGATTTTAGTCTGTTCCTAACATTTTCAAGTCTTTCACAATACGAACAAGATGTGCGCTGAAAACATTCCAAGTACCTACAAATTGTTTTAAAGCCATGATTACAATTTTCAGATAGATAAGCAGCACGTTGAAAGGTCTGACTTTAGAAGAAAAAATAAGTAAGGGAGGGAAGGAATTTCTTTAGCTGTATTTTATATTATGTAATTCCTTATCTCTGTAATAATTCCTACATATTTAATAAACGATTTATTAGTTACATCTGTTTCAACATGTTTATGTAGTGTAGCCAAGAGGTGTACATTTCAGGCCAAGCTTCTTTTCAGAAGGAATGGTCAAAAGGCATTTATTTACTATGAAATCAAGATAACCTTTCAGGCCATAATTTTCTGAGGTGACTAATGATTTGGGGTGACTAACGTGAGCCACCTTAAAAAGAAGCTCGTCAGCGCTTTCTACAAACTAGCACCTCTTGAAAGAGGTTAAGTTGGATACTCAAAGTCATTATTTACTCTTAAAATTCATGGTCTAACACAAAATACTGTATGAAGGAGATGGAACACATGAATGAACAGAAATATTGACAATACGCGGTTGTGCAAGAAATCACATTGTGTTTTTCACCTGTAAAAGATGAAACACCTATTTTTCATCCCAAAGTCAACTTCAAGGACAGAAATGGAATGACAGACTTCTCAGAACCATGGACTAACTGCAACACATATATCCATGGTCCTTCCTCTCTACAGGGATCTGAGCTCTCCACCTTTGTAAACCATGCAGAAGTCCAGCATATAATCAAGAGAATCTGCTTGAAGCCCCTGTATCCAAGGCATCATCTGAGGCTGCAACCTCTCTAACTTCTGTGGGTGCACACTGACATTATCAAGGGGAGGCTGGGTGGTAGAGAAGTGCGATGATCGAGCCCCTCCTGAAGCCACAGTCAGAGCTGGCAGTCACTTTTTCAGCTCCTCCTGCTCTGTGGCAATGCACTTAATTTTGAGGTTCAGCTGGTTGCTTCCTCTGCTATAATACTGAAGGTTATGGGTGTCAAATTTGATGATGACAGTAGCCATCTAGCACACACAGATTACAAAAATACCATTACTTACAGTGGCCTGCTCAAACTTAACCAGGTTATCTTGGACATAAGCATCGTGACAGTGTTTAATTACTCTTATTGTGTATTTTTCATAGAATCACTGTCATTTTCTGTGCTCAGGATGGATTGAGTGCACAAATTAAGGTTTCACAGACAACTGTAAGCCTGCTAGAGCCTGAAAATTGCTTCAAGGGCTCAGCTGCTCTGCATTTTTATTTTCTCAAAAATAAGCAAATAATCCTAAATATAATTTTATAACCAACAAATGCTTAAAATACTACCCCCAAGCTTTATAAAACCTCAGGTTTTCAGGTATAGACTCGTGCACACTTTTGAAACCAGAGATGACAGACAATTTCACTATGTACAATTTTTATCAGCAATCTTCAAGTTATGCGAGATAGCCAGAGGCTGTGAATTCAGGTCCTGAGAAACCCAAAGAAGCCTGAAGTATGTTAGTGCTTGTACTTACATAATTAATTGGTATTATTTTTGCCCGAGGTACCCACTGCAGACTAGAAATAACCTAGACTGTTTGCTTTATTTATCTTTTTGTTCATATACTGCCAGTGAACCTTCATGTATTTTCTTAGGTTTAAGAAGCATCTGATAATATCAGCACAGCAGCTAAGTCTGCTCATTCAAAATTTAAAAGAAATAATAAAAATCTAGACTTTCAGTTAGAGCACTGTATTATTCCAGCTGTTAGATTTTACGTTTCTGTGATGTTTCTTAATGTATACAACTAACTTTTCAAATGTCACACTGGTTAACGGGTCTCATTAACTTTTACACAGAACAATGTATGTATTTACCCTCACAGCTGATAGAAAAAAGGTGGCAAAGCATCACTTCACTCCTGTTTCCATCATTCTGCCTTTTTACAATACAAGCCCATGTTTTCAAAATGGCTAAAGGCACGTCAGTGCAACTTCCTAAAACAGTGTCCAGCATTTTCTAATTATCAGATCTCTTTCTTTCTTTTCTGTTAAGTACATGCTACATATTTTATGCCACAACAAAGAAAAGGTGCATCTGTAATATGAGCATTGCTAGCCTATTAACAGAATCAAGCAAAACCACTGACACAGTATAGTCTGGCTCTAGGGCCATATTCCAGCCAACGTTAAATACTGAGTACATCGTTCTGAAAAGGAAAAAAAAAAACAAACCAAAACAGAAACAAAGAACTCCCTGGAACTTTAGAAACAGTTATTGCCTCCAAAGAAACTCACTGTGTTGGGCTTCATACTGCGCACCATGGTGCTGTAACTGTTGACTGCGCCTGTAACAGCCCTCTCCAGCTTTCAGAGCTTGCTTGAACAGCTTCTCTGCTTCTACAATTGTTGTTGCTTCCTCTTCAGCCAAAAGAATATAGGCAGTAGCACACCTGCAAAAATATCAGAGGAAAAAACATGAGAAAGTTGCATGAAATAAAAGCTACACAAAGACATGCAGTCTGGCAAGGATGTAACAAATACAGAGGCAATGGAATTTTGTCCATACACCTTTCTGATGTACTGTTCTGATGAATAAATATTCTGGCAACCAGATCATGACTCTCATTTGTAGGTACTGTACCATTCAGCCACTTGAGTAAACCTACTGACAACTGCCCCAGAAAGTAAAGCACTGTCTCACTAAGCAATCATGGCCTACACCACTAGAACTCCTGGAAACCAAGAGTAGTTTTATGCACTATTGTTTTAACAAAAAATGTCTACATTACTGTAATGGTATGAAAAGAATCAATAGACCTATAACACTTGCCATATGCAAAGAACAGATTATGAATGTAACTGTAGAGATTAAAAACCAAACACCACTTTCCCCCCAAAAAAGATATCCCCAAAACAGGAAAGCAGCTTTAGGAATACACAGAAAAGTGAAATGCATGGTGGGAGTCACCTCATCCAGCTTTTAGCTGTCTAATTTAGATCTCTTAGCTATCTGTGCCCCTCTGCCTCCATCAAAGAGCATCTTCACAAAGCCATTTATTTCCTGTGTTTAAACATCTCTCTAAGAATAGGGTGAACTGCTGAACGGAGGTGCCTCTCTTACTGACCACAGAGAGAGCCCAGGCAACTACGATTAACTCCATGGCCACATTTTTAGCAGCCAAAGTTAGGTGGGATATAACCTCTTGACTTCTTTGTGGTACAAAGCACACTGCTGGTAAGATTCTTCTTTATACAGAGACAGAATCAGGCTGCAACTGCCTCTAGTTGCATTTCAGAGTCATCAGCTGAGGAACAGGAAACAACAGATCAGGGTGAAAACGAGATTCCAGGCACCAGTACTTGCTGTGGGCCACCCAGCTGGAAAGAAGCTTGGCAGAAAAATGGACTTGGAGGTCCTGGTGGACACCAAGTTCAACATGAGCCAGCAAAGGAGGCTAATGGTATCCTGAGCTGCATTAGGAGAAGTGTTGCCAGCAGCTCGAGGGAAGCAATCCTTCCCCTCTACCCAGCCCTGGTGAGTGATGTGTCCAGTTTTGGGCTCCTCAGTACAAGAGGGACATGGACATACTGGAGAGAGTCCAGCAAAGAGCCATGAAGATGACTGGGGGACTGGAGCATCTCACATATGAGGGAAGGCTAAGGGAGCTGGGACTGTTGAGCCTGGAGAAGAAGAAGCTCAGGGGATATCTCATCAATGTCTGTAAATACCTGAATAGAAGGTACAAGAGAAGATGATGGAACCAAGCTCTTCCTAGTGGTGCCCAGTGACAGGACCAGAGACAATGGGCACAAACTGAAACACAGGAGGCTCTGTCTGAACACCAAGAAAGACTTTTTTAGTGTGAGGGCACAGATTGTCCAGGGAGGCTGTGGAATTTCCCTCCTGGACATACTCAAAAGCCAACTGGACATGGTCCTGTGCAACCTGCTGTAGGTGGGCCTGCCTGAGTAGGGGTGTTGGACCAGGTGACCTCTGGAGGCCCCTGCCAACCTCAACCATTCTGTGGTGAGTGAGTAGAACAGGATAGACTTACAGCTCACATCTGAAAAAAGCCTTTTACGTTACATGCTCCCTCAGTTAAACTGCTGTCCAGAAACAAACAAATATTGTTTCATCCTTCTGATGAAACATGTGAAGGACAACCTGTAAGGCACCAGTTTATGGAATTCTAGAATGCAGTAATCTATGACAGCAACCTAAGGGACTCTACTTCATGCACTTTGGCAACATTTATACACCTTGCCATGCCAGTAAAGCATCACAGCATTGAGTTTATTGTGGGATCTCAGAATACTACACTTCTCATTGAGAAAGTAAATGAAGGACTCAAAGACCAAAAGTCCCAGAAAATTACATCATATTCTCTCACACTATGAAATTAATATTTCAGAAGGTATTCACAAGTCCCTTCTTTCTTGCCTTTGTTCAGGACAACTCAGAAATCCAAAAGGGAACTCTCCATCCCATAAATGCGTATTTCATGTGCTCATCAGGGGGCAACTTAATTAACACTTCATTATGTTGATCCAAAGCCCACTGACATCAGTGGGAAGACTCCTGTTGCCCTCACTGCCCTAAGCATCTTCTGGGTGGCTAGCACAACATGCAGCTGTGCTTTTTTTCTCCCATTGTAGGCCTTCCTGTGACAGGCCTGTAACATGGTTAAAAATTACTGTAGCAAACCCCCTGCCTAAAGCTATCATCAAATGGATTTTTAAATGACAGGAAATAAATGTTAATGTTGTTGTCACTCACTCATTCAACTCCAAAGCTTCATGTGCTGCAGAAATTCGGGCTTGGGGGTTTCTCTCTCTCCAGGCTTTTTGCATTACTATTCAATAAAAAAAGAAGGCAGAACAGGGGCATATCAGCCATTACAGTGTTAACAAGAAGAATCTACTCCATTATAACAACAGAATTTATTGCTCTCAGCCTGACTCACTCCAGAGCATTTCAAAGACCTCAGTGGTCACTCAAAAGATACATAATCAACATCAGCTTTTGTCCCAAATACTTTATTCTTTCATTTAATTAAACTTTTTTGCATGGGAAGGTCTGGCTGAGAGATCATGCCATCTGCACTGTCACATACAGAGATGATAAGCAGTTTTTTCCTTTTGGGGAAGTAGATTCCACAGGGCACAAAAGAATACAAGGATAGTTGGGAGTCTTATTCTAGTCCTTGCTGTGCTGTTGCTTTAGGTGAACGTTAAATGGAAACAACATCCAGGCTAATCGGACCACCTCATAATTAGCCCACTGAGTTCAGAAAATAGGATTCATGTTTATTGTGTGTCAAAAAAGCACAGTATGTTCTCCTTTGTAAATATGTTCTCAGAAGAGAGCACCCAACTGTCAGTATCTGTCCTTTCTGACGGGACAAAGATTTGTCTCTTCAGAGGCAAATTCTGATGATCAAAATCATTGTCATACATTTTTAGCAGAACCAAAGTCTGCACAGGGACTTAACAGTAAAGGCTTAATACAACTAAAGCTGCTTACATCAAATTCAGTTGTAAATGTGTTGTTCCCATTTTTTTTTACAGAGCTTCTAACTACATCAGAGAATGAAACACAGGACTCAAGTTTTACAAAAGCTCTCTCTCTTGGGTCAGCGTAGACTAAATGGGACTGGATAATGTAACTCAACATACTACACTGCAGCTGGAGGCAAACTAAGGTATATATGTTTGAAGCCACTGCAAGAAGCGGGAGGAAAAAAAAGGCTTTACACTTGCAAATGGTACCTTGTATGACTTCAGCAAGAAAGTAGAACAAAAATACTGACACAGATTAGATAGCTTATACCTATATAGAGACTTCTTCAGATCTGGAATACCACAAATCCAACTGCAACAGCTTTCCAGCCATGATCAAACTTTTGCCTTTCCTTATCTACCCAAGAGAACTGATGTCTGACTGCATTTTTCTTGCACCAGTTTAAAAGTCATTAACCTATTAGCAAAAACAGTTGTTCACAAGGTCTCTTACTAGCATCTGCAGGACGTAAATGATCTGTGTCACATGTAAAGAATGTCTGATGGTCCTGCGCTGAAAGATTCATATCGTAGTAAGTCAAAGGTTCTCTCCCTGTTACCCATGTATACCTGCAAACATGCCAACAAAGAAACATTTTGGTTAATGAGGTCACATCTGGCAAAATGACTCTAGAAAAAAATCCTAGACATTAGAGATGGGCATAGCCTACTAAATTCACCCAGCTAATCTCCTAACAAACACCCACTGCATTTCACTGTACTGCAGCTGAATGACAGTAGCTGAACCTAAGCTAACGAAGATGTTGGAAAGTACACACTGGAAATCAGTAACCCACATATTCAAACATTAAGACTACATGAAACCTAGATATAATTCATTAGGTTGTTTGCTGTAACTGACTTGAACAGAATTACTGTATTAACAGTAACAGGTACACCAGACTTGGCTTTTCCATTTTTTTTAATAAGATCACCAAAAATTGCAGTAATAGCAAGTGCATTAGCATGAATTTAAATTCCTTTTCATTCAGAAACATTTTAGAAGTGACAGAAAAGCCTGGCATGAGCCCATGTGTCCACAGTTCATTTTGGTTTTCCACCTATGAGTTAGATTAATGGAAAAGTATAATTAAGGTCCTTAACCCAGTACTACGACTGAAACTGTAACATCATAGCACTTACCGATTATATTCAGCTCCTCTGAATAGATTTAAAGGATTTCGCCAGACTTTGCATTCTGTCAGAAGCAGAAACACACAATAATGAATCCCTCCCAAATTACAACAGTACTTGAGGTTTATCAGAAACATCAGTTACCTTTTAATGAGCCTTATCAGATAACTTAATTTTTATAGAAAAAAAAAGGTGGTGGGGGGGGGGGGGGGGGGGGAAATCAAGACCATAAAGATGCAGGTAACCAGACTGCTCTTCCCTTTTGAAATAACAATTTCATCATAAATTAGTGTCAACAAATGCTGTTATTCCAGACAAATAACCACTAACAGAGCTCCAAATGCCAGATGAAAAGATAATACTGATTAGTGCCAGGACTCACATTTACCATAATGCAGAACTGAAGAGGGATCACACTGGGTTACTGCACTGAAAAACAGCAATTAACTCAGTCCCTATGGACTTGTTATGTCTACAGAAAAATTTCACTGTCTAGCTAATACTGTAAATCACTGAGAATCTCAGCTACAGTTGCCAAATTTAATTCCTCCTTAGCTCGTGAAGTAAAAATCCATGGCAACACCTGCTGACCTTACTTAAATTATAAGCATCCCAGGGCTGACAAAGGATGCTGATGATTGGCAGAGAAAAGTTCATTGCACTGCAAAAGGTTTGGGAACACTAAAAGCATTTCATACATTTCTCTCGGGAGGGAAAAATGTAAATTCTTCACACTACAGGTAGGAAGAGATAAGAAAATCCATAACAATGTAATTTAGAACAGAACTAAAAAAAAAAATAATAAAAAAATCAATTTTTCCAGCTTTTGAAACAATGAGGTCATGATTCTGGCTTTTATTCCTTTAATTTAACACCAGATTTGTTCTCTTCATTTCAACAAAGACAATTCAATCCAGTGAAGGTGAGACCAGAATCAAACACAGTATTTGCAACTAAGACTCACTGAGAGGCATCACAAATCTGCTACCCCTCACATGATGCTCTGCAAAAACTCATCAGTAGCATTGGCCTTGCAGCATTTCACCAGCGGCTTTCCACCACTGAAAGTCAATGGGCACATTTTTCCCTATGAAATTCCATTACATCATTTCTAAAGAGATCGCAGCAACAGTTTTCTGGTGGGATATTGAGTCAGCAGGATATCTTACCCTACCTTATACAACACTGGTAAGTGTATGCCTGTTCTCTTTATGCCTGTTCCATTAAAGAAAGAGAGAGAAATACAGAACGGCAAGTCAAACCCTTCTCTTTACCCGTGGACCTAGCTCCCACTTCTGAGTATGAGGCTAAAGTGGCACAGAGAAAAAGCATTTTACATAAATCATTTGCAATAACATAATGACACCTGCAGCTACATAAAAACTAGGCAAGTGGCATAGGAGGTGGGGCCTCAGCTTGGTGCCTACATCACCTAACATGCATGAAACAGAGACATGGGAAAGGGAAGATAGCACTGAATATACATCTGTATCTTTCAATTAACCACTTCAGCAGGTAGCTAATTTTAGAAAGCTCCACTGGTTTACTCAGCAAAAGCGCTCGATCAACATTCAGCCATTTTGTTGTGCAGCCAGAGGGTGTGGCTGTTTGACAAGCTTCAATCTGATAGTTTTTACATAATGTGACTTTCAATCCACAGTAAATATTAAAAAAAAAAAAATATCAGCATTCTCAGTTCTAGAGGCACAATTCAATGGTTTGGCTTACTCTATCTGCAACCAACAAGATTAGGCAACAACTATTTGATCACAGTGACACCATTCTTTTTGCTCACCCTATTTAAGTGGCTATACTTTATCCAAAGTATGCAGTACTTCAGCCCTGTAGCAGGGAAAGGGAATTGGGGAACAAAAAGGGGAGGTGAAGAAGGGATTTTATTACCGCCTCCTGTCCTGGGGGTAGTTTGGCATCTGTCTGGCTAGTTAAACATGACATGCTCTTTGTTGCTTTTGTCTTGGTATCTGTCAATACTGTGGTCTCAGCACAACAACCATTCTTCCAACCTTTCCATGACAAAGGTATCTACTGCAATATTCTACCATAGCCAAACATCTACACAGAAAAACATGGCGAGCCAAGTGAAAAAGCCATCTTCACCTTGTTAGATAGTGGAAGAAATATCCCAGTGCTGATGCGTGGTAAACTGAAAACATTGCCTCTTCTGTTACATTACAAATTAATAATATAACTATGTCCTTATTTTATATAAGCAATTAGGATTCATTGAAGATCAACCTTTCAGCTCCTTGTTCAATGATCAAGTTTTGAGCATCGCTATCTTTCTGAAGGCATGAATAACAGGCTACCTGTTACAGACACATAGGGGACACTGTGAAAGGTCCCAACATCGTGAGTGTCGACGCGCTGAAAGCACACACGCTCCTTGACTGTTTCTTTATATCAGAAAAGTCAAGATGCTTGGGTGAACCTTATTAGTCAAAATACTGTGCCTTCTGCTTTAAAACGATGGGAGTTATTTCAGAGCTGCTGAAGTGTGAGGGCACTGATGAGTACACACAGGTGTTTCCAAGCCATCCCATGCTTTTTGCCAGTTCATCCAAACCTAATATCCTGGACCATGCCATGCTGCTATTCACAGCCTCTCCTCAGATGGGAATGACAACAGCTGAATTTGCTGCGCTATACAGAGGCTTCCCTAAGTAGAAATCCTCAGTATAGAGCAAGGTTTTTTGAGGCCACCGATTTTGTTTAACTTGCAAGTTCAAACCTGATTTTTGTTTGCTTGTTTTCACGAACAGTGAAGAGCAGAAAAAAAATTTGCCAGGTACAGACATAGGGACCTCAGCTGCTAAACAATAATGTTTTCTGCATAACTGGATTTTTTTTTTATTCACTTTTCCTCACTTGTTAATTCTGATATTTATTAAAAGCCTGCAGAGGAAATAAATTTAACGAAACCCTAATTGATTCTAGGGCCATGTCCCTAATGAAAGCTAAATTAAATTTCCAATATTAAGATTATGGCCTGTATGCCAAGCTAGGGCTGAAAAGCTTCATTTTACGGATGAGGGACACAAGCCGAGATGCTCCTACCCTTTAACAGTGAGTATCTCCAACTCAAGCCAGAAGCAATAGCATTTCAGCATCTTCATTGCTCATGGGCTAAGTTTTCAGCTCACCGCTCCCCCCCGCCCCAGTAGCTGAGTCACCCAAGCAGGGAGTCAAAATTCCTCTGGGACTCCTCTTCAGTCCACAGAGATCAGTGCTTTGGGGGGCCGATTCATTTTAGGCAGACTGGCCTGTCTCTCAGAGGAACCATCCCCAGGCAACCAGGCACCTGACTCAAAGTGCCTCAGCAGAATCCCAAGCCCTGTATCTAAACAAAGTGACCTGTGGGGACAGCCCTCCTGCAGCAGAGCTGGAACAGGACTCATGCTGCCTCAGTTCAAAACTGACATCCTCCCCTCCATCACATAAGAGCCGATTTCTTCCAATTTAACATTGTCTTTTTCACCAGAGCAAATGTGTGGATTCATTATAGTAATATATAAATGCATAACAAAAATTACAACCCATATGTTTATACTGCTCATGTAAGGCTCTCAAAACAGCTCAATCGTACGTTCATTCAGAATAATCATATGCATTAGAAAAGAAGACCCAGAGTGTCAAGGTGAACTGTAAGGGCTCGAATGACTTAGAGTCAGACACCCTCAGCCCAATTTGCAGCACCCGCTCCTTGCACTGAAACTTGCAGGAGCTGTGAAAGCCTGGAAACTCAAGAAAAATCGAGCCCCAAATGCCTGAAATCAGGCCCTCTAAACTGGAGGCCTCTTTTTAAAACCTGACTGGGTTATGACTTGCCCAAAGTCACAAATTAAATCGGTAGCAGAGTCAGGAACAGAACAAGCCCTTAAGCTATTAAAAGCCACGGTGCTTCCACTTACTAAAGTGAAATACAAATGTTTATATACTACTTACATTGTCTAAAAAAACAAAGCAATGGAAAAGCAGACAGGCATTCCCAACATCTTTTTCTGAATTTTTTTTTTTTACAGTATTATTCAAAAGAATTTAAATAAAAAATACCACCCGCTTTTAGAAACTATATTGCAGAAAGAGCATGCGCAGTTTAGCAGGGCTACAAGAACGAGGGAAAACAGATGCGCCGGCAACGCAGCCTGAGCAATAGGCAGGGCGTGAACTTGGAAAGCTACAATTAGCCAGAGCCACTAATGAAGCAGCTCTGCCTTTTATTTGACGACAAAACGAGCGTAAAGGAAGCCTTATCTGGTCTCACGGCTCCGCCTGAGGTGGCACCTGTGCCGCGGGCCCACCGCAGGCTGCCCGAGGCGGGCCCAGCCCCCCCC